TATGCTGTACATGTGAACAAGTTAATATTATATGCCAACTATAGTTTAATCAAAAACATTTTTTAAAAAGCATTGCTACATACTACATTACTTAAACCAGATTGATTGGTTTTTACCTGCATGGGGAAGTGCCACTGTCCTTTTTGCAGAAACATTAATATCCTGAACTCATCCACATGGGAAAAGTTTGGAAAACGTGCTACTGTAAGTTGCGTGTCACATGAACCAGGCCCTCCACCGCCTCCCCCTGCAGAGACCCCCCACCCCCCGGCCAGTCCATGTGAACCGGCCAGGGGCCTGCATGCCTTGCCTCCTCTTTTGCACCCCTGGACTCTGTGCACAGTGGACAGACCAGCTGCCTCGGGTAGGAGGGAAGCCACGGGACCATCAAACCCTGGGGCACGAGCTCCTGCAATATTTTGCATGTTAACTAGCTGAGCAATAGTATAATTAAGTCATGAGTGACAGAGATCTGATCCACTTCATGGCTGCAAGAGGCCTGCCAGAGGGGCTGTAAGTTTCCCTGAAAAGCCACCTTTTCCTACCAACCCCAGATCTCACAACCCACTGGAGCCTATGGAACAGTCCCTGTGACTGCCTGTCTGTTCCTAAAGCAAGCCACTCAGTTTCAGGACCCCGCTCCCCCTTTCCCAGACCTACCCGTGGCTCCTGGGCTCCCCGCTGAAGTCCTGTGGTTCCAGCTGAACTATCTGTGTCCCGTGGATCTAAACAATCTCTCCTCTTGTATGTCTTATGGAGTTAAACCACGGCTGAGGATATTTCATTTAGTGCTCCATGAATATTCACTAAATGCTGGATGTTCAGAGATGAAAGGACTTGGTTCCCACCCCTCACGGAGCTTCAAGCACATTGGGAAGAAAGAGATATGCAAACTGGTGGTTATAATGCACCTAGTCAGGGTCATAAAAGACCCACACCCTGGGGAGAGTGCATCCAAAGTCAGGGAAAGTCTCAGGAGGAAGCAGCAGCTAAGCGGAGAGAGGTGGCAGTGATGAGCTCATTCTTGATGGCGAGAACTCCACCAGTAAACGGAGTACAGTTGGAACCGTGGAGTCCAGCACAGTAGCCCCACGCCACAGGCGGCTGCCGTGAACTGGAATGAAGCTAATCCGAAATCCGGTAGGAGCGCTATAAATGTAAAATGCACATGGGCTTTCAAAGACTTAGTGTGAAAAAAGCATGTAAAAGTGTATTCATAATTCTGAATATTGATTACATGTTGAAATGATACCATTTTGGATGGTATTGGAGTAAATAGACCATTAAAATTAATTCCTTCTGTTTCTTTTCACTTTTTAAAGTGTGGCTACTAGAAAGTGTTCACTTATATATGTGGTGAACATTAAATTTCTGTTGAGTAGTTTTGGTTAGAGCATAAAATTCTAGGTTGCAAGTGCCAAAAAATGAATTATAATTATTACTACAAATAACAAAATAAAGGGGCTCAGTGCACAGCAGGAGCCAGGTCGTTCAGGTCTTGGACATCACACAGGGGTCACCAGCGCCCCGCGCAGGGCGGGGAAGGGAATGTCGGGTGTTCCCTTTGGAGAGTCGCTCTGGCAGTGGAGTGGAAGAGAGACCAGAACAAGGAGAGAAAGCAGAGGCAGGAGAACCCTTGCAGGCAAAAGCGAACCAGCCAAGAGTGACGGGCCTGCCTCCAGCCTCCTGCAGTGGCCCTGAACCCTCCTGTGATGGTGGCGCCCAGTCCCCAGGTGTGGTGAAGCCTACGGGCCCTCACTCAGACGGCGGTTCTCACACACGGGAAATGAAGTGCCTAGGGCTGCGACGGTGAGCAATGACCGAACCACAGGCGTCACCTAGAAATCTCTGACATAGCAACATGGGTGCATCTTTGCTGACGTTCTAAACAAGATGGAGCAGGAGTCCAACGATCGCTGTAAGGACGAAGCGCCCACGAACACGAGCGTGTCGAGCAACAGCCACCACGATCCACAGCAGTGCCCGTGCTTCCATGAGAGGTGGAGCTGCGGGGACTGCCGACACCCCTGTGGCTGGTTGCCTACCTTCACACTCAAAGAAAATGCTAAATTTTAGCGAGTGGTTAGTGAAAATGAAATGTAATTGTCTTCCCACCCAAGTCACAGAGCACCTTCAGTTCTATCCGTGGACCCCTGAGGGGTCAGTGGATCCTCGGGAACCCCTGTCAGATATGCCTGGGCTCTCCGCACCAGTAAACGGGAGTCCCTCCAGAATGGGAACATGCAGGGTGTGTGCTAGGAGTCGGACGACGGTTTACTTCTAGGATCCCTTTGCTCCCGTGGCCACATCCACAACGACAAGCTCAGCCCGAGAGCACAATGGCCTGTGCTTTATGGAAGCCTGCAGGGTTCTCTGAGGTCTGACTAGAAGCCATGTCTTTTTCTCAGGAAACGAGGGTCCTGACCACAGGAACAGGCCCAGGAGACCCAGAGGAAGACTGTGAAGGGTTGTTTGCTCTTTAGTTCTCAGTCACTCAAAGGAATTCAGTTAAAAAAACACACAGAAAACAGCAAAAAGACCTATATTATATGATGGCACTTACACAAGCTGTCTATAGCAGTGGTCCCTGGCAGCTGGGGAAGATGGAATGGGAGAGTGATTTTGCTCCTGTAGCTAGTTAAATAGTTATTAATAAGAAAGAGGACAAAGGGAGTCAGACAGTGAGCTCAATGAAGTGGGGAGCATGAGCCTATCTGCTCCACCAGGAAGCTGTAGCTTCACATACCACAGGGCAATCTCAGCACTGCTCCTCCAAGGAGATTAACACTCCTCCCTTCCCCCCTTGGTACCAGGGTTTTGGGGGTCACAGCTTGACCATCGAGGCGTGTCAGCCTAACTAGGGGTGGACCCATCAAAAAGCCCATGAAAGCTTGGGAAGTTGACTGATTATTTTGGAACAAAACAAAACAAAACAACAAAAAAAAACCCCTCTTGGTTATAACCCCAGGAGGACAGAGAAGCGCTCTCCCCCTCTCTCGCTGTAACTTGCAATCGCCTCATGCACTCACACATCTTCTCTCCATAGCCAGGCAGCCTTAGCAGCCATGGGGCCAATGGCCACACGGACTCCACACCCAGGTCCCGGTGGGAGCCTGAATACCTCAGCACTGCATCAGACTGCAGCTGGGAACACAAGCTAAACCAGCAGGATGCTGAGCTGGATTAAGCCTTAATATGGCAAATGATCTCTGGATACCAACTCCATTTCTGGCCCTGATTTTCCATGACAAGATGGACAGAGATGGGACACTGGAGGGGCATTCATTCATTCATGCATTCATTCATTTATTGGAGGGGCATCCTTTTGACTTTGCTTCCGGAGTAAACCTTACCAATAGACCTCATCCTCTTTTGTGGGTCCCTGAAAATGCTTTCTCTTGCAAAATGGCAAGAACCCCACTTCCACTAGCAACAATTTAACAATGTGGAATTTCAGATCTGCGAGGTAAAGCAGTCCTGGAGCTGTCCCACAACGATGCCACTATAACCAACAGCACTGGACTGTGCACTTCAGAACGGTGAAGGTTGTACATTTCATGCTGTGAATTTTTATCACAATAAAGAATAGTTAAAATTGCAAACCAAGCAAATAGGACACTCAGATCCCAGTTTAACTCCTCTCATTCCTGAGTGGAACAGACCTGCTTGACCCTGCACATACAGTTTCTTTATGCATAAAAAACATATACAAAAAAAAATACTTTTTAGAATGAAGACCTAAGTGTTTTTTAAACATTCTTTTATATAACAACAGAGCTCATCTTTGCAATTCTGTATACTGATTTATACAGACTAAGGCAATCCACTAAGACTAATAACAATAGCAAACAATCACACTAATTAAGGGCTCACACTAGTCTAAACGCTTCATAACTCTGACTCATTGTCTCATTGCACCCCAACCATCCTGTGGTGCCGGTCCTATTTTTATCTCCACTTTATAGATAAGGAAGCCCTGGCACAAAGAACTAGTAAATGGCAAAGTCCGGAGTCAAAACAGGCAATTCCACCTGTGGCAGGGACCAGGACTTTCATTTCTAAGCTCCAGCACTTGAGAACCCTATTGACTCATACACACTGGGTGAGTCCATCAGCAACAAGTTATTGAGCAATCAATTACAACAGAATTGTGGGAAACTGTTACCATATTGCAGGAGAAGGAAGATCTTGCCGTCTGCTTGCCTCTACCATTTTTTTTAACTTGTTAAGGAGCAAGTTTACAGTAAAGATTACTGCGGGGTGGGTGATGGGGGGGGGGCTGCTGGCAGAGTGGGAGAGGGAACACTGTTGGGGGCGGAGTGGGGGGAACACTGTGACCCTGAGCTCCTCAAGTGCCTCCCTCCACTCTTCTTTGAAAAAACCACTAGAGCAATTCTTCTAACTCCCCAGCATGTGGACTTGGGGATCACGGCCAGAGAGCAACCCACACTGCCACCGGTTGTCTTCCGTTCCCAGGAGGGCGGGGAGAGACGCAAGTAAGAGACAAGAAGGCCTTTCTGTGGACCAACGGTGAATTTTAGGAACTGGTCTAAAATTAGTGGGGGAGGAAAATTGAGGAAGGCTGCAGAAGTCACCAAAGAAAATCACAGGGTGACAGTAAAGGGGTTGGGATGAGGAGTCACTCTTCATGGCTCAATAACCATGTGCTGCCAACAACTCGGGAAGCAGCAGCTGCATTTCTGAACAAGACAGAACACGCTGGCCCAGCGAGGTCCCCGGCTGGGGCACGTGAGAGAGGTGGCCAGTCCATGTTTCTCTTCCTCTCCTTCTCCCTCTCTTCCCCTCTCTCTAAAAATAGATAAATGAAATCTTTACAAAAATAATAAGATAAGAAATAAACAGAACAGGCTGAGACTCAGCTGCAGGCCGCAGAGCCATTCTCTCCCAGACGCGACCAAGGCTGTGCTTCCAGTGTGCCCAGAGGATGCTGGTGGGAAAGGCTGGGGGCGTGGGGGGGGGCGGACGCGGTCAGGACTCACCTGTAGGTGTATGGCCCCACTTCTTCTAACCGAGGGATCTCCCCTCTGAGGATCTCCTCTGGGTTGGTGACATTGAAGAAATAGAACTGGGAGTACACGGGCAGAGGGGGCTTCTTCCAGGAGTCAAAGGTCTCGGAACCGTTCCTTAGCACAATATTCTAGGGGAGAAGACCAAAAGGAGATTGACAAAGTGTAAGGCCACTGGCTTTCAACACAGGGGCAGAGTGAGAGGCACTCCTTCCTCTGACCTCCTGACCTGCTTATTGTTCTTACTGACATTCAGAGCAGTCCCCGGAGAGGAGGGCCATGCCTTCTGCCAGTATGAAGCTCACAGCTCTGTTAAAATATAAAAGGTCTTCATAAATACTTGTGGTAAAGGAAGGATGCTGGAGGCATAGCTCATGGGTCCTCAGAAACATGGTGTTATTAAGGCCATAGGGGGTTTTCAACAGCTATAGTAGTTTATTTATAATTGAACTCTTCATGAAAGATATTTATAAGACAACCAATTTTATACATTGGAAATGGTATCAAAATATGAATTACAACACAGACAATATGAAATGGGGCTAAAACAAACCTGAAGTGGACAGACAAACAATTTCTCTTTTTAATTAATTAATACTAGCTTAAACTTTGTTAAAGAAAGAACCCAGCCCTGGCTGGTGTAGCTCAGTGGATGGAGTGCAAGCTGCAAACCAAAGGATCGCCAGTTCAATTCCCAGTCAGGGCACATGCCTGGGTTGCAGGCCAGGTCCCCGGTACAGGGCATGCAAGAGGCAACCACACATTTATAGTTCTCTCCCTGTCTTTCTCCTTCTCTTCCCCTCTCTCTAAAAATGAATAAATAAAAATCTTTAAAAAATAAAATAACAACAACCAAAAAGAAACTACCTAAAAGGTTCCACTGGCTTTGTCACAGAGATTCCACTATCATAAGTTGCTGTGGAAGATGGGGCCATTCTGAGATGCACCACACACTCCCAGTTTGGGAGGACAAGAACAGTGAAAGAGGCCCAGGAAGGCTAGCTTTAATCCCTACATTCAAGGAAGAACCACACCCATCTCTATGTATCCACCACCAGGGTCCTGAATTGCATTTCTTCATTCAATCCCCAACAAACCCATAACACAGAGATGCTTACCCCTGTCTCACAGATGAGGAAGCTGAGCCTCACTTGAGGTGAAGTGCACAGGGTGCTCTTTGTCTACAATCCTGCCTTTGTTTTCCACTCTTACCATGTGTTATAAACTGAACTGTGTGCCCCACCCCCACACACACCCCAAAATTCATCTATTGAAGTCCTAACCTCAGAATGTGAGTCTATTTGGAAACATTCAAAGAGAAATGTGAGGTTAAGTGAGGTCAGGGCTGTAATCCAATATGATTAAGTCCTTATAAGTAAAGGATAACAGAGCAAATAGACACAAAGGAAAGAGCATGCGAAGACGCAGGGAGAAGACAGCTGTCTACAAGCCAAAGACAGAGAGGCCTCAGAAGGAATCAACCTTGCTGACACCTTGACCTTAGACTTCTAGCAACCAGAACTATGACCCAATAAACTTCAGCTGTTCAATCCGCCCAGTCCGTGCTATTTGTCAAGGCAGGCCCAGCAAACCCAAACTAATACACCCTGCCCCCACCTTTTCACCTTACTGACGTCAGGCTTGGCCAAGTGACTTGATTTAATTAACAGAATGTGGGCGAACTGCGATGCCCCGATTTTAAGCTAAGGTCTTCAGTGGCACAGCACGTTTCCACCAGCCACGCTCTGCCAAAAGAAGAGCATGCCCAGGTGGCTACTGTGCCTTCAGCTACGGCCCCAAAATGGTGATATGGGAACCAGACATGAAGCCTAACTCCAGGCCAGTTCAGCAGAGCCAGCCAGGCTCCAACTGCAGCCAGCCCACACATCCAAGTATGAACTAAATGTCATTGTTACAAGCCACTGTGTTTAGGGGGTTGTTTGTTATTTACCCAGCATTGTAGTAGAAGCCTAATTAATGCCTTGCCCAAGGTTAATAGACAGAAACCTAATATCTAGTAGTCCTAATGGTCCTCAATTGTTCATGGAGGAACACTACATTTTTATAGTATAAATTATTGAAGTACACAAGAAAGAGAGAAGCATAGACTGCAAATAAACAAACCAGAATATGAACAGTGATTAATTCTCCATGTTGGAAATCCAGATCATTGTTATTTTCTCCTTGGTGAGATTTTTGTATTTCCCAAATTTGTACACTGAGTAAAAAAAATTAACACTGAGAAAATTATTAAAAAGAAAATGAAAAGAGGAAAATGGAATCGACCAACACAGACCAGGAAAGGCCGCCAGTGAAACCAGAGACGCCCAGAGAAGTGCCCCCTGACGTCGCCTGCCATTCCTCTGCGGGGAGGGGGGTCTGAGTGGCAACCAACAGAAAGACTGGCTTCCAACCCCGTTGGGAACCACATGCTAAAAGGTCCGGTGACGCAGCACACAACAGGATGTCAAACTTTAGCAGGCCAGGCCTCCGATTTAATAGAAGCCATGCTGCCAGGAACCTTAATGCCACGGCTCTGTTATTAAACAGAAACTATCCCAAGCATCTCTGCAGGACAAACAAAGTGGCCCTGGAATGCGGACGCAGAAACCGGAAGCTTGAAGCTCTTCAAAGCAAAGCCCGCGGCCATCTGGAGGGGCCGGGGGCAAACTCGAGGCCCGGCCGGCCCGCCGACCCTGTCCCAGCCTTGGGGATTACTTGCGGTTTGGCGTCAGTTCGGAATGTCTGCTCATCAGATTTCTATCCAAACAGCACACTATTAAAATATTCCTGGCCTTGACTATCAGAGCTGATTTACTGATTTGAGATCAGACTGATGAAACAGAAAAGTTTCCAGACAAGCCTTGAAACCTGTTTCCTCCAGCCTCAGGATGGGGCTCAGACCAGGCTCCGACTCTCCCCCTGGGGAGCCCTCCCTGCCCCGACCCCTCACTCACTGACTCTCCCTGCCCCAGTCACCCGGGAGCCTCGTCAGTCATTTTAGGCAGTTGTGCTTTTTTTTTTGTTTGTTTGTTTTTTAAGAGCTTCATGGTCTTTTATCTTATTTCCTAAACAGTCTGGGCTATCCGAGGAGGAGCAAGGGAGCAAGTCAGGCAGAGAGTGAGGGAACCTGGAACTGAGGAAGCCCTCGGCGGGTTGGATGTCATTCGGAGGCCCCTGGGGGAAGGTCATACAGCAACTTCATGTTGGAGCTGGGTCTGGAACCCAGCGCGTCTTTCCTCTCCTCTCCTACTCGACCTCAGGACGTTGCAATAAAATGGGTATAAATGCATCACACGTTTTCATTATAGAATTTATATGGTAGAGTTTCTCTGCCACAAGTACATACGTATAAGACCTAGAAACAACTCAGTAATGTGAATTTGACCTTCCTGAAACTAACATGTTAACTCTGAGAAAGATAACATGTAAATAATAACTTGTCTCCTAGAGGATTTTGAAGACCCATAGATATTTTAAAAGATGTCTGATTTCATTAAAATAAGAACCTCTTTTTCTTGTCTATAAATCTCCAGAAAAGGGTAAGGAAATAATTGTCCCTCTTCCATGAACTCCTTCAGTAGTTCCCTTCAACTGGATGGCTCTTTTCGACCACATAACACATTATATCTATGAGAACTTCTTAGGGAAATAGTGTCAAATAGAAAATATCTTCTCAAAATACAAGTTAACAGTAATCACCATGAAGCAGGTGACACTAGCAACGGAAAAGGAAAAGGAAAGGACAGCGACTCAATATGGTAACATATTAGGTTAGCTGTTGGCTTCTCAAAATAGAAGGCGCTGTGCTGGCCAGGTAGGTCAGTTGGCTGGAGCGTCGTCCTGACACACCAGGGTTATAGGTTCAGTCCCCAGCTGGGGCACATACAGGAAACAACCAATGAATGCATTAATAAGTACAACAACACAGTCGATGTTTCTCTCTCTCCCTTCTTCTCTCTACCTAAAATTAGAAAAAAGATTTTTCCTATAAGCCCAAAAGGTGTTGACCTACAAATACAGAGGGCTTTTTTTCCCTTTAATCCTTCCCACAGTGTCTAAAACAATGCAGTTGCCGGGGAAATATCTGTTCAATCAACAGAATACAGTACTAGAACATTTACACACTAGCTTCCACTGACTTTGCTCAGAAGATGCTATGAGAGAAAAACGGCCAGAGACATTGAGAGAGAGAGAAGCAGGAGAAAGCCATGAAGGGTCAAACGCAAAGCTGCAGGCCCAGGCCTGGCAGCACAGGGGGGCAGCTACACGCCTTTGCGGGAGCCTTGGAAGTGCACCCAGAGGAAGCGGCTGTTCACTGGCCATTGAAGTCACACTCAGACACGGAGAAAGCAATAGCTTCATTAGAATCACCGAAACACGCAGCTCTAACGCCTATCAGCGTGTGCATCTTATCGGTAATCCAGCACCCTCAAGAGCTAAGAGTAGCCAGGTCCTTTTGTGGGTGGAAAGAAAAATCTGTGTCCCTTCATGACCCCTTTTACTAACAGCTGTTTAGAGGCGCGCTATACCCATGGTTTTCTGGCAAAGTATAGAACTCTGATGTGAATCGTGAAAACACTGTAGGAGACACCCAGCAACATAGGTATGGCTTCTGTGTTCCCGGAGCTTGCCCTCTGTTTAAGGGAATATCAACACACACATGCATATCGTCAACCATATAAAGCAGCAGGTGGTGAATGGCCAAGGACTCTAGTGGTCTCTGTAGTGTTCAGACAATGGACTTTCTGAACCAAGGGGGAGAAAGGTGGTGCTTAAGGTGAACCAGGAAGAAGGAATAAACATTTGGAAAGTAAAAGGAGGTCACGGGGTGGGTGCCTGACAACCAGGGTTGAATCAACTCTTCCGTCTGGCTGGACAGAGCAAGCCCTTCCTCCCGCCTGCTCCATGGCCGTCTTTCCTGGAGCCCTCTGCTAAATCAGAAAGACAGTGGCTGTGGAAAAGGAGACAATCAAAGATACAGAGATGGATGGTATTAGGTGTGACTGTGAGTTTTACAGGGAGTAGGGAGAGTCATTTAGAGAGATGGGCTGAGGAGGCGACAGGAGTCTAGACTTTATCTGATGTCACCACCGGGAGCTGTGGAAGGTTTTTGAGCTGCAGAACATTA